AGGCAGGACGGCCCAGACTAACCCCGGCCCCAGGCTTCTCGGAGGAAGACGCTCCCGGGCCGGCTTCGTGTTGAGTTAGCAGGCACAACCGCATGGGCCCGTCAGTCCTGCGGCAGGCGGCCGCCGCCAACACTGATCTGCAGGGCACGAGGCCTTGCCAGCGGAGCAGAGGGAGGTGGTCGGTTCAGCAGCCAGCCTCCGTTTGGAAACGTCAGACCTTCTCCAACCCGACTCCAGTGAGGAGAGGAGAGGAGCCAGCGCAGCTCTCCCCTTCCCCGACAGGCGAGTCCTGACAGCCTCAGGCAGGAGGCCCTCCTTTTGCCTCCCTGCAGGCGCTGCTTTGGAGGAGCAGCAGGGCACGGGGGGGGGGAGGCTCTCCCACAGACGGGCCGCTCTGTGGGACTGGAGGAGCTCGGCAGCCTGAGCAGACAGCTCTGCAACCAGCTGGTCCTTTGGCCTGCCCCCCCCCCCGGGCTTTTAAGCTCGGAGATTACTCCCCAGGCATGAGGGCCCACGGGGGGTCCTCCTGCGGGGGCTGGCCCTTCCCTCGCCACGTATGCCATCACGGCTGGAGTACGCGGGAGCCACTCAGCGCAGGTCACAAAGGTTTGCTCTGGGTGAGCCCCACTTAGGAGCTGGTGGAGAAGACGCGAGACCCACTTCGCTTGACAAAAGACAGTTTCCCAAACAACAGTCCGTCCCGTGTGAACTGGTGGGAGAAAAGGGGCAGGGTGGGGCCAGCTCAGCTCCGATGGGCTGGCTGAACCTTGGGGAAGGCGACGAGGACTGTCACCCGTGGGGGCCGCTGCACATAATTCTTCTGGAACTGAAGCCCCCTGGCCAGACTCGGAGTTGGGGGGAGGGAGTGCAGCTTTTCGCCCAGAGGGTGATTAGCAAAGGCTGGAAACCCGCATGGAAGGCTGGAAGAACGGGAACCAGCAGCTCTGAAGACGCCTCACGGTGCTCAGTGTGGCGCTAAGCTGGTCAGGGAAGGCTGTGGGAAACGGTGCCGCTGTGCATTCAGAAGGAGCCTCACCCCGTCTGGCCGCTTGGCATTCCAGCACGTCTGGAAGACACTTCCCAGTTTACACAAACTATCACGAGACCAACTCCAAAATACTATCTTGCACTCTCTCAAAAAGGCCCAGCTTTTACAGCAAGAACCACATGGAGCCCAGATGATGATCAGGACTCATTGATACACCGTCTTGCGTGCGCTGAAGGACCAGAGTCTACTTCCTCAGACGAGCCATGTCAGAGAGTGACCCATGAAGTTTGGGCATTAATACTTTGGTCATTGTCCTGAACAGACCGCTGGGCTCTTCCTCGTTTTACAGCAGAAAAGGCAAAACTGGGAAAGAACCTGGGAAAGAGGTTATTTTACCAACGTGCTTGGGATTACCACTTGGAAAAGCACATTATGCATTTGCATTTTGCCTCCTGCTGGAAATCAAACTGGCCTCCACATTTTTGTCTTTCTTCAAGCTATTAAGAGGAAATTGCTCCAGTACAGAGCACCTGGGGATGATGAACCAACGCCACTGGTTTATTACTCCAGCTGCTGCCACCGGACATCATGCTATTTCACAAATGCGAGATTCGTCTTCTGGCTGTTTGAGTTGCTACACCACTCCATTGTCAGCTGGCATTCAGCCATTGCTACTCTAAGCACCAGAGTCTCTGGATGGCGGGGGCTAAGAATCCAACCCATCAACGGGACCCTTTCATGGTTCCTGGCCAACCAAACGGCTTTCCCAACATCCACAAATGGAAAGACTCACCCTACAAGCGGCAGTGCTGAGCTGCCCCTCAACACAACGGTGGTCCTGTCCCTGCAGAGGGCGCCAGCTGGTTCTCTGCCCCTCCAGGACACCGGCAAGCACTGCGCAGCCCAGGTTCGGCAGGCTGGAGACATCCCCAGGGACCTCCCGCCTTGGCTGCCTCTGCCACGCCTCCTCATTCCTCCTAGCCCAGTCCCTGCAGCCCCGCAGGGCCGGGTCTCATGAGGGGCAGGGGGCCTGGGCAACGGGGCCTCACCTGGTCAGCAGGAAGGGCGCACTGGCGGACAAGGAACTCAATCAGGGCTTCTCCGCCGGGCTGCTCCAGGTAGCCGTGGTGGGCCATGGTGCTGATCATCTGCACCACAGCCCGCTTCACCTGCAGGGAAGCAAGGAGGGAGGCTGTCCATCTTCCAGGCCCACAGACATGCCCCCCGGCCACTTGCTGCACTGTTTTGGGCACAGGAGAGTGGCTCGCGTCCCACAGGTGGCAGCTGCCAGGAGACGGACACAGTTTGCTAAGCGCAAGCATGACCACGGCACAGAATTCTGCCCCCGGTGGGCTCCTTCCTGGTGGCGCCTGAACACGAAGGGAGCGACAACTCCTGGACCGTGCGGGGCGGCCGGCTCCCCCCACAGAGGCTGGACAGACAGCAATCCATCCATCAGGGAAGGGGCAGGGGAGGATCTGCCCGTGCAGCCGCCTGGGGGAGGAGGAGAGAGTCCCGGGCATTCTCGAACTTCCCTGTGCCTTTTCCACAGGAATCCCCCCCCCAGGCTGGCAAAGGCGAGCCCCTCTTCCTCGCTCCGCCTGCGACAGAACACCAGCCACCTAGAGAGGCCCAGATGTCACTCGGAAGGGGCAGGCTGGCCTTCGCATGGCAGCGGCTCAGCCTGCAGGGGGAAGGAAACGTGGGCAGCTTGGCTGGGGGGCGGCTTCGCTCCTTTTGCCTTCAACTCACCTTATTGCTGTGGTCCTGCAGAGGGAGCTTCAAGGAAGACAGAAGAAATGGCTTCTTCGTCTCCATCTGAGAGGCTGGGCGGAAGCAGAGCAGACCCCAAATGCAAAGCCTTTTCCTGCTCTCACCCGGCAACCCACCCAGGTGTCCACTTCGCCCTCACATCTAATCAGCTTTCTAACAGGTAGGAAACAACACGTGAGGTTGGGCAAAACTATACCCAGTACCCGGTTAATCAGTACAGGCGGCCCTCGGGGATGCGTGCTCCCCCGTCGCTTTTCTCCCTCTACCCCAATGGCTGCACCTCAAAAGACTCTTCTGTTAAAGTTCCGAAATTCGCAGATGACACAACTGTCATTGGTCTCATTCGAAATGGAGAAGAGTCAGCATGCAGACGGGAGGTTCAGCAACTGGTCTTGTGGTGCGGTCATAACAACCTGGAGCTGAATACACTCAAAACTGTGGAGATGATTGTGGATTTTAGGGAGAACCCTTCCAACTCCCCTCTCCTTACTATACTTGACAGCCCAGTTTCAGCGGTAGAGTCCTTCAAGTTCTTGGGTTCTATAATCTCCCACGACCCGAAATGGACGCTTAACATCACAACCGTCATCAAAAAGGCACAACAAAGGATGTTCTTCCTGCGTCAGCTTAGGAAGTTTAAATTACCCCAGGAGCTCTTGGTACAGTTTTACAGGGGAATCACTGAGTCTATTATCTGCTCCTCTCTAACTGTCTGGTTCGACTCCGCAACCAAACAGGACAGACGCAGACTCCAACGGATAGTTAAGTCTGCAGAAAGGATCATTGCAACCCGCCTGCCTTCTGTAGCAGATCTGTATACTGTGAGGGCCAAAAGGAGGGCGGAGGAGATGTCTGCAGATCCCTCTCATCCCGGACATAAATCGTTCCAGCTTCTTCCCTCAGGACGGCGCTGCAGAGCACCGTATGTTAAAACATCTAGACACCAGAACGGTTTTTTCCCTCATGCCATTGCTCTGCTGAACACCTAATTAAGGCAGCACGACAAACTGATTGGCATTGCCTAAGATATGATTGCCAAGACGCAACTGATAATGCTGTGAATACAATAGCTTCTCCTCTTAAAAATGAATATATGTTAGTCAATAGCCATAGTATTATTCTTCCTCCAATTCTCCTCTTCTGATTGCATAGTTTTAGTATACAACATTATTACTTTTTATTACTCCTTATTTTCTGATGCTATGCAAACACTGAAAGTTTTTTTTCTGCACCGAAGTCAAATTCCTTTATGTTTCATACTTGGCCAATAAAGTATTCTCTCTCTCCCCCCCCCCCCCACAGCACCATCACAGGTCCCAACAAGGGCACACACAACATTAGAGGCACCTCCACATGTCCTTCCGCCAATGCGGTATGTGCCATCATCTGCCAGCAATGCCCCTCTGGATTCTATGTAGGACACACGGGCCACACTTTGTAGAGAAGAATTCACGGACACAACTTTGTCATCAGGACTCAAAGTAACACCAGAGAATGTCATGCTTCCAGAACACTCAATGGGCAATCTCACAGGGACCATTTTGGAAAAACGGGACTTTAACAATGCCATTGAACAAGAGATCGCTGAATTCATATACATCCAAAACCTTCAGGCCACCTCAGAAGGTCTCAACAAACACATTACAATTGTAACCTGGTACGGAATTTGTAACCTATCTTCCCCTCCTCTGCTCCCCCCACATCACCCAATTTAATCCGACTCCAGTCCAGCTACACCACGCATCTGATCAAGGGAGCTGCAGCTCACGAAAGCCTTGAATGCAACGGGTTAGTTGGAAAAGGGGCTACCAGACTCCTCCACAAACTATCAGGGCTCTCTTCCTCCAATGTCCATCTATGAGGCCTCCTGGACGTTCCTCCAGCATGGGGGCAGGCGGGGGTGGGAGCCTCAGGTCTGCAGGCAAGGAAACCAGGAGCTCCTGACCAAGCCTCGCAAGTCCCACTCCAACTGCTCCGGAGTCGGCCTGGAGCGTTCCGGCCAGCTCCCGCTGGAGCCTCCCTGGGCCGCGCTTCCTGCAGCAGCAAACACTTTCCCACTCTCACCCTGACTGTGGAGCGGTCCACGCCCAGCTGAGCCTGCCTGTCCCTAAAACATGGAGCCATTGGAGCCTCCTCCTGCACAAGGAACCCTGTGGAGGGTTTTCCTAAGGACCTGAAGATCCCAACACCATGCCGACTGAAGTAAAACTCCCCATTTCTAGCAGCCCGGGGGGATCCCTGTAGGAGCTGCCAAGAGAAACCTGTCCCTCCTTGCCAGGCTCCTAGCAGGAGGGCAAGGAGGCCGATCAGCCCTGCTGGCAAGAGAGGGCCAAAGGAGGAAGAGGTGGATCTTAGGGCAGGTGGGCTCCATGCTTGCTGGCCTGAGAACCCCAGAAGTCGGGGGAATTTCTTTAGAGGAGCCGTGCCAAGACCCCCCCATTTAACATTTCCTTCCTTCCACCCTCCAAGGCAGATATGTGCCCCTCCCCCACAGTGGTTCCCCTGCTACCCCAAATCAGTAGCCAGCTCGCCCTTCCCACTTACGGGCACTGTTGATGATCTGCCGCAGGACAGTCAGCGTTGCCACCCGCGTCTTCTCGTTGCTGGACTCCAGCTTTGGAAGCAGAAATCCAAGTAAGCGGTCAGGGAATGAAGTGGCTGCAAGAGAGGGAAGCCGCAGACAGGTCACGGCCTGGGCGCAGGAAGGCACAAGCCCATCCAGACATCCATGGTTTTGCAGATGGCTGGACGCTGGATGTGCCGGTCCTGATGCAGGGCCTCCTGCAGACCCAAAGCAGAACGGCTGCAAAGGGGTGGCAGAGAGCCAGCCCTCCCCCTTTGCAGCTCCGAGACAAAGGCCGACCAGGAAACCCCCTCCCTCAGCGGAAGGGTTCCAGAGCTGAGTCAGGGATAGGCAATTGTGTGCATGGCCAGCAAACCCCACCCCATGGCCACAAAGTCCACCTTTCCAGATGTGAGGACAAGGCTGAGCATGAAGAAGTTCTCCCGCTCGAAAGCCATCAGGGTTCCCAGCCCCCTGGACCAGCAACCCCCAGCATCCGAGCTGTCAGCGTGAGGGCCCCTCCCAGCACGAGGGACGTTCTCCCACCTAAGACAGTGAAGCAGCGAAGGGCCTCATTGTGGTTCTTCAGTGGGACGGGCATGGATGAATCCAGAGGGGCACAGAGCTGCTCCGAGGGTGGGGGGAGGAAGAGATACTTATTAGAGCGAGGTGGGAAGGGGAGGAGAGCGTCTGCTTGACGTGGGGAAGGACGGTCCCCCCCAGGGCAGCTCCCAATGAAAAACTCCTGGTCATAAGGAGCCAATGTCGCCCTGTGGGGCTGGCCTGGCTAAGCCCCCTGGGATCCAGACGTTTTGCCACTGAGAGCCAGGGATGGGGGGAGGCACAGAGCTTGCCACCAAGCTTGGTGTCATCTCCACAACGTGGCTGGGAGAGAAAGGCAGGGCTGGCTCGTCTGGCCAGTCCCCTCCCTACCTGGAGGTGGAGGGCCCCAAGGAGGACTTCCAGCTGCGTATCTAGGGTCCGGCTACCGATGTTGACCGATGCTTCCAGGATCTGGCACAGGCTCTGTTCAAGGGAGCACGTGACAACAGTTACCCCACCCCCTTGGAAACAGCAGAGCACACGCTTATTTCACACCCACATGAGGTCACCCACACCTGCAGTCCACCTCATCAGCTGCTTTGGGGGAGGAGGAAGAGCTCTCTGGGTTCCAGCCAGCTGCTCATCAAAATGCTTCCTCTTCCTGGACTAATTTCTTCCAGAACTTGATTTAACAGATTTCAAGATTTTAATTTCTCCTGCAGAACTTTTTCTAAATCAAATAAACCGTGCTCATCTTAGAGCCTCGGCTGCAGCCTACGGGCTCGGTAGTAAAGGCTCCAGATATGGTGGAGGACAGTTGTGCTGCATCCGGCGAGGACGGCCAGCACTACGGACAATCCCGCTCTGTTCCTGCTGCCTGTGCTGAGCACCCCAATCCCTCGCCGGGAGCTCCTCTCTCCTGGGGGGAGGAGGGAGGGAGGCAGCTCGCAAGCAGCCACTTCCTTTCAGCTCGGGGTCCCGAAAACGGGCCTTTGCATGCTTTGCGCCGCAGCTGCCTTAACTCCGGCTGGGAGCCGAAGAACACATCAAAACGGCAAGCGCCGCGCAGCACCCGAAGCAAAGCAGCTCAGGGAAGGCCAAGGATAGCAAGATGCTGGACAGGAGATGTGCTGCTCGAGGCCCGAGGACCCCAACCCTCAGACCCCTCCACTCTGCCCGCCTTCCAAACTAGCCTCAGCCAGGAGCCGCTCCGCACAGCAGCGTACCTTGGAAATGTAGTAGGCCTCTGCTGGCCTCCGGTACAGAGCCAGAACGCCGGGGACGAGGCGAGGGAGCTGCTCCTCCAGCTTCTCGCTGGGCATCAGGTGGCTCATGGGACCCAGGGCCTCCACGACAGCGAGCCTCAGCTGCAGAGATGGGGGAAGGTCAGCAAAGAGATCCTCGCAAGGAGCAGCAGGGACTGCCTCCCTAACAGAGGTGAGCAGAGCGCAAGAGGGCAGGCGGAAAGGGGCCTCCTCATTGGGCCCCTGGCCCCAGAGAGGGCCATCGAAGATGGGAACCCTCTGCAAACGGAGGTCCCTCCTTCCGTGCCCACCGAGGCATGTGGGGAGGAGGAGATGCAGCAAGGCAGTGCCATCCAGGACTCAGAAAGTCCACTCGGAGGTCATTCCACACAAAGCCAGAGCCCCCTGGCAGCTAGTGGTCCCCAATCCAGTGGAGGTGCTTCATCTAGCAACACCCCATCCTTCTACTCCTTATCCCCCCTACCTGTTTCAGACCCAGCCCAGCAATTCTCAGTCCATCAAAGCATGTTTCTCCTGCCCAGTGCTTCCCCCATCAACTTGCATACATGCATTCGTTGTACTACTTTTTAGGGATGAGCAATATGATGACGACGACGATGATGATACAAACACAAGAGGCAGGAAGACCAAGCCACAGAAATGAAAGACGGATGAGAAAAGGAAATGGAGCTCAAACTACCATACACCAACGAAGCCATTCCTCCTCCCTCTCCCTCCCTTTCGCTCCTTGCCAACCATCCTTGCTTCCCCCGCCTCCTTTTTAGCCTCTCCTTCTTCGCCTTGCTCACCTCTTTCCTCTCCTTTTGAGGAACTCATCAACTTCATCCAATCATGACTTTCTTGATCTTCCCCTTCCTCAACCCACTCGCTCTTCCTTTGCGTATCTTCTCCACAATTCAGTCCTCATTCATGCTCCCCACCAGACCACTTCAACCTACTCTCGTGTAAGCATCATTGACTTTTGTATTCAACCCACCTTCATTCAAGATCCACGCATTCTCTCCCTTCTCTTTTATCCTGCACACTTCTTGAATCCCCCACTCCCAAGGTATTCCCACTTTCAACTTACTTTGACGTTCCTCCAGACATCCCCAGCTCTCCCTTCCATGCAACAAAGGGGGCAGAAGCACATCCTGACACACAGCCGTATTTGCCTCTTTTGATAAACATTCATTCCTCACAACAGACCACATCCTAGTTTCTTTCAACCAACATTTGTGCATCAGTATTTCTCCATCCATTTTCCCATCTTGAGTACGTTCCTTCCAGATACACAAATCCAAATACCTGCTCTACTTTTTTCACCATTTATATCTAACTTGCAACTGTTGAGTCTTCTCTGTCAAACACAGTGATCTTGGACTTCGATAGGTTAATCTTCAGATCCATATCCTCCTCATACAATCCAGTGAACATCGGCTGCGAACCACACAGGTTCTCAGCCAGCAACAGCATTGTCTGCATACGAAGGTACACCAACGTTCACAGGCCCCCACCCCAACTCAAGGACCCCTTTTACCTTCGTCCATAAGTTCTTTAAACAGTCAAAGGGACATCACCCCTCCGAGTTTTATTCTCTGCTCGCTGTTGATGTTCCAGTTATCCTCAAGATACTTCGCTTCCATCAAACTCTCTTCTGACCACGTTCAGCCACCAACCTCCAATTCCACACTCGCCCAAAGCATTTCCCAGTTCAACCCTGCTCACAGATGCTTTCTCTAAATCAACAAGCATACAATACACTTTCTTTTCACATTCATACCTTTCTCAAGGACCTGCTGAGGAGGAAAAACCTAGCCTGCGCACCACTCTGTGATTCCCACATTTTGTCCATTCCCTCTTTTTCCAGCCTGCTCAGAATCCTGGGAAAGACCCTCCCAGCACACGTAGGCCAGGAATGGGAACCTGTAGCCCTCCCCACCGGTGCTGAATTTCAGCCCAAGCCCAGCCACCAGAGAGCCTTCCTCCTCCTCCTCCTCCTCCTCGCACCTTGGTCTCCCGGCTCGGCAGCCAGCTGTTGAAGAGGATTTCGTAGGCACTGAAGACTTCGCTGGAGAAGGTGTCTCGCCTCACAGTTGGATCTGGCGCCTTGTCCAGGTTGGCCAGGTACTCCAGGATGCTCTCGCTGAAGTACTGCAAAGCTGCATAAAGGATGGCATGCCAGCTGCTTCTCCTTCCAGAATCCAGAATGGGGGAGGGGAGGAGAGCCCCCCCCCTTGGTAAAGAGTACAGTGAGATGCTGCTCCTCCCGCTCCTTAAAGGCTTGGGCGGAAAGCTGCTCCCACGGTCTGCAAGCTCATCGTAACGACCCAACCTGCGGAACCCACCGGCCCCTGCAGGAGGTCTCATGAAAGCTCGCCAGACCCCGAAAGGCAGCAGCCAGAACCACAGAGTCCCTAACCCTAACCCTCCCCAACCCAGCAGCCTTGGGGTGTTCCGACCTCCCACCAACGGGGTCTTTCTAGCACCTCTTCAGAAGCTCCACCACCTTCTCCGAGAAGGCCACCACTCAATGCCCCTCCCGAGCCCAGGGAAGTCCAAAATGGGAGCTCTCACCCAGAGAAGCCTCTTTCCTATGACAGCCACCTGTCCTCTCGGCAAACATTTTTTACAAGTTCAAGGGACAGAAGCAAACCAACCAAAGGTGCAGAAAACAGGGAGTTCAGTAAAAATGAAAGAGGTAAATGGGCTTACTCGATTGTTTGACAAATGAGCACTGCCACAGATGGCAGGTGACGACGGCACAACGTGGAGCAGCGTGCAGGCTGGAGTCCCTTGCTCTGTGCCGCTGCTGGGCCTAGGCAGCCCCAGGACCGGCTTGTCCCAAGACCGGTCTGAACCACCCAAGTCCAGCGAGGAGAACACCGTCTTACCGTAGCAAAAGACGGACTTCATGTTGTCCTGCTTAGCCATGGCCAGCATAGGCAGCATTGTCCCCAGAATGGAGTTGAGGAAAGGGACCATCCCAAAAACTGTGGAGTGGAGGGGGGGGATTGAGAGAGGGAAAGATGAAGATGATTTAAACCGAAGCCCTCACTGAGCAGGTGCTGCTCTGGGGAATGGGCAACCTTCTTATCAGAAGAGCAGAGAAGGGCCAAAGCATTCTCCCCCCTCCTTCTGCCCCACCTCTCTTAGCTTCCTCTCTGCTCCAGCCGCGGCCTTTAGACGTTTACGGATTGAGCATCATTCGAATTGACAAGATAGTGTGAAGGGACACAAATAGACTACATAAACAGCTCACTACTTCATGAATTTTTATGGAGCCTGAAGCTATATAGATATTTTTCACCATTTGAGATTTCTCCAAAATGCACTTTTTATTTATTTCCAACGTTTCTACCTTGCTGCATCCTCTAGGTAGCTCACAAACATAATGAATTTAAGAAGATTCAAATCCTCCAAATCAACAAGTTGAATAGCACTGAAAATGTAAAAAGCCCAGGAAGGTCAGACTCAAAGAGCCCGCCCCCCACCGGGAAAGAGCTGGGCAAGTTGCACCACGATCCCCAGAGATCTTCGGATCCTCTGCCAAGGGACACCACGCTGAGCTGGGCAGCACGTGTGGCGGAGGGCCAGGCAGCCCATAGCAGACCACCGCTTGCTTGCCTTCCTTTGCACCTGCCCCCCAGCCCCCTTTTCCAAGCAGCTGGAGGGACTCAGGAAGGAGCAGTGGTGTGGCATCAAATGGCAGCCCCAAGTCCCCTCCAGCCCCTCACCCACCAGGCCACCCATCCTCCTCCTGAGCAACCAAAGAGAGGGCACACCTACCGTTGGCCACTGAAAGGTTGGCAAAGGTCAGCACCACAAAGCAGTGAGGCAAGACCCCCGGCTGGAATTTGGTCAGCATCTCCTCCATCACCTGGTTGATGAAGCGCCTCCCAACGGCAACCAGGACGCTGCTGGCAGCCTGCTGCCACTCTGGAAGAGCCTCCTAGAGTGAGCCCAAGAGCCAACGGTTCGGCCCGGTGCGCTATCCCCACGTTTCCTCTCTCCCGGGCCAGGGGACACGGGCAGCACAACAAAGCAGCCATGTGAGCAAGGCTGACGGCAGCAGCCCAGGCCAGGACGCCCACTCTTCCAAAAGGAGCCCAATGCCCGTTGACCCCCACAGGCAGAGGGAGCGGCTCCCTCACGGCCCCCAGGTGGGAACGCTGAGCGGAAGGGGTCCACCCCCAGCCCTCCAACTATGCGCCCCTCAGGCAGCTCCCAGGCTTACTTTAGACTTGGTCATCTCGCTGGACGCCAAGAAGATGACGACCTCGGCTGTGCTTCTGTCCAGCTGAGCCAGGCTGCTCCTCACCACGGCTTCCATGGCCCTCAGGAGGATGACCCGGTGCAGATGGGCCAGCTGGGAGGAAAGGAAAGAGGCAGTGGTGGGGGCAGTGCCTCAGGGAGCACCCACTCGCACCTGGCACCGACCCTCTGGAGCCACGAGCGTCGCCCACCAGCCGCGCTCTCCTTCCTCGCAGAAGGCCCCTGCTTTCCAGAGGAGCCTTCCAGCCCTCACAGTGCCCCCCTTCTGCCCATCCAGACGGAGATATTCTACCCCACTGGCATTGCTCTTGTACTGCAACGGCCATGGTGGCCGATGCCGGGATGGCCCCAGCCCGGAGCCTGACCTTCTCGTGCTGCCGCAGATATTCCTCACAAGCATTCAAGACCTCCTCGGGCTCTGTCCTGCCCAGACAGCAGAGGGCGCTGAAGATCTGCTCCTGGACCAGCGGATCCTTGTCAGTCGTGGCACCCATCAGAGTCAGGGCCAGCCCTGAAAGAGAGGCAGAGCGGCTTTGCCATCCCCCAGGCACCCCTTCTTCTCGTGGCCGGCTGGCTCCAGCTGCCCCGCTTGAGCCCACCCGGCCAAACGTCTCAAGGAAGCCATCTACGCGTTTGGGTTGATGCAGAACGATAGCCGATCAGCTTCTATGCCACACACGCAGAGCTCTGGGCCCTCCAGAGCCGCCTCCCCAAGGGAAATACTCCGCGGGCCACTAAGGTACAGGAAGTCGGTTTAAACCGTCCACCAAAACAGAGGGTCCCGACAACCAGACCCAAATCAAAATGCCACGGAAACCCTAGCCCAGGCCAGTTGGTCAAGGAGACGCTGGGCAGAGCGTCAAGGGCATCCTGAGCCCCAGCCTGCAATGCTCGCCCTCGGGGCTTCAGAGGAGGAGCGAGGCTGCTGCTGCTGCTGCACACGCAGACCGAGCGCTTCCAGCGCCCTCAGAGCAAGTCAAGGGGTCCCGCTGGAGTCTTCCAGCAGCCCTTCAAGAACACATCAGCTGCTCTGCCTTTGCACAAGGGGCAGAAGGAGAACCAGCCAAAGCAGCAGACTTCCCTGCATCCTAGAGATGGACGGTCCGCTTGAGGCCCCGAGCGCAACCCTCTGCTCAGCACAGAAATCCCGTTGAAAGCATCCCCCGGCTGGCTGTCCAGCCTCTGTCTGGACACATCCAGGCCAAGGGAGCCCACCATCTCTTCGGGTAACAGGCTCCACCACGGAACTGCTCCTGGTGCTAGGGGCTCTAGGGGCGCAGGGCTGGTTGAACCATCAGGCCCAACCAGTGTGTGTCCATGGCCCTGTGCCACGCTGGAGGGAAGTGCCCTGCAGCCTGTCTCAGGGCCCTGCTCCACACGTCTATAAACTACCTGGATCAGAATGTACAATAATTTAATTTGCTATCCCCCCTATTTCTGTCTCATCTACAAATGTCTTAGAGGACAGTAACAAGATTAAAGAGGCAGATGACAGGCTGACACGCCGGGCAGAAACCAGGAAAATAAAATTCAGCAGGGACAAATGCAGAGTCCCACATTTTGGTCAGAGAAATCAAAAGCACGAGCATGGGACGTGAGCAGTTCGGGCAGAAGGGATCTGGGTGTTTTGGTGGCTCACAAGCTAAACATGAACCAATAGCATCACAGAGCCGCAAAAAGCAGCACATGCAATATTCGGATACATCAAGAAAAGAATGCTCCTAAGAGAAACCATAGAATAGAATATACAGTGGTACCTCGGGTTACGAACGCCTCTGTTAATGAACTTTTCGGGTTACCACCAGCTCCAGCCGCAAAAATTTATCTTGGTTTGCGAACTCCACCTCGGGGTATGAACAGGATACGCGTCCATTTTCCCTCCCGTGACACGGTCCGCGGCCATTTTTCTGCCCGACACATGGTCCGTG